AATCCTCAGCTTTGGACGAAGTGTGACATCTCTGGTCTTCCAAATCCTATTCAAAGATAGGAAAGCAGCTTGTGCTTTTCCCATGCGGGACTTCATTTCAGCTCCTGTTCCTCCCTCTCTGTCAATAATATTATACTCCCTACATAGTATAAGGATTCAACGTCTTCTAGTGCATTTCCTTCTATTGTGACCTTCCCCTTTCGCTGTGCATCTGTCCTTTGGACGTTTGACTTTTCGAGGGGGATCCTCAATCCAACAGACTCTGATACTGAAGTCTTTGCTTGCATCTGTTCCTGGGTGTGCGACAGAAGTGCCAGGTCGTCCGCAAAATCCAGATCGTCCAACTGTGTCCACATGGTTCACTGTATACCATTTCTGAGTCCTCTGGTGGTTTCCTTCATCAACCAATGGACTGCCAATATGAAGAGGAAAGGTGATAGTAAATATCCCTGTCTCACACCAGTCTTGATGTCAAATCTGCCAGTGAGATGGCCGTCATGTACAACCTTGCAACTTGTCCCTTTGGAAGCCTCACGAAGTGTCCTTCCTTCCAATCCTTCGGGAACTTGCTCTCATTCCAGATCCTGGTAAACAGTGGGAGGAGGCGGTCTGCCCTCATATTGGCCTCTGCTTTTAGGGCCTCAGGTGGAATCTTTACCTTTGTTCAGCTTCTTTATGGCATCCAGAATCTCTTGTTTTGAAGGAGCATTGCAGCAGACTGGTAACTCATTTCTTGCTGGCAGGATGTTTGGCGCGTTTCTCGGCGGTGGTCTGTTCAGGAGACTGTTGAAATGCTCTACCCATTGTTTCGACTGAGCCTCCTTTCCAAAAATGGTTTTCCTCTCTTTGTCTTTTACTGGTACATGTACTTCAGGTTTCCTATATTTTCCAGCAAGAGTCTTTGTGGTCTGGTAAAGGATTCGCATGGGCTCTCCTGCCTCTTCTTCCTTTGCTTTATCTGCCAGTCTGTTCATGAATTCCTCCTTGCATTTCTTTAGTGATTTCTTAACATTCTTAGCTGTTGTCCTGTACTACTATGCATTTGCTCTTGATCCTCTTGTCCTACTTGCATTCGCTTCTGCCTTCAGTTGTCTTCTAATCCTAAGTAAATACAATTAATGTTTTCCAATTCATTCCTTGTGCTCCTATTTCTTCGCTCCGAGTACTTATTGACTTGTTGATGTTACGACTTCTTTGACCGTGGTCGTCCAGTGCATCTCCACCTCCATTTCCTCTCCATCGAGATCAGTCCGAGGTTATAATCTTTTCTTTAGCTGCAGCTGAAACTCGTTTTTTGTGTCCGTCCAAGAGACTTACTTGGAACTTCGTTCTTTTGGTTCCTGTGCTGGTTCCGTGCTTTTTAAAATCAAAGCTTGAGTTTTGCCAACAACAGATGATGGTCTCTTCCAACGTCTGCCCCTCTCTGTACTATGACATCTTTCAGTGAACGCCTGAAGAGATACGCCTACAAGAGATACAAAAATGATCTACCTGGTTCTCCGTCACTCCATCTGGCAATACCCAGGTAGCGTGGTGGGGTAAAAACAGAGCCTCCAATGACAAAACTGTTGAAAGCGCCGATATTTGCAAATCTCTCACCGTTCTCATTCATGTGTCCCAAGCCATGTCCCTCATAACCTACGTTGTCCTGACCAGTCTTGGCATTGGCATCTCCCATTATGATGTTGAGATCCTTCCTTGGTAGTTTGTCGATGACTCCCTGGAGCCGGCTGTAAAAGGCATCCTTATCTTCATCCGA